TTTCCACCCATTTCTACCTCATTCCACCCACTTCTATCCTATTTCACTCACTTTTAACCTATGTTACCCACTTCTACCTTATTCCACCCGTCCTAACCTTACTTCACCCAGTTTCACTGATTTTACCCACTCAACTTACGAGAATTCCTTGATGTTATGATTATGATATCTGATTCGCTAAAAAAATTGACCAGTCAGACACCGGACAAACAGAATAATTTCTGTGCTACCAACTCATCATTTCAAGATTGAAAACTACATCTTGTGGGTGTGTGTGTGAGTGTGGGTTTGGGTGTGGTGTGGATAGAACGGTGCTGTCTTTCAATACCCACACTCACATTCGCACCCGCCAAGGCCACACTCACTCCCCCCCCCCCATCACACCGTTAAATCGTTTCTCCACTTAGAACTGTGTAAGGGTTTGTGTCCCCTTATAAATAGATATATTCTTGTATCAGTTACTTCGGTAATAAACTCTTTTTCCTTAGATCAACGAGATCAGTCCTCAACTAGCGGGTTTCATATTACGTATGATAAACACTAAAATAAAGGTTGATCTTCTTGATCTATGGGAAAACAGTTTATTAGTGAGCAAACTGGTTCAACCGCATATCCTATCGCAACGGGATACAAACCCTTACAATCCTAAGTAGAAAAGGCTTTATCAAATGGTGGGTCACATACATAAACTTATTTTAGAGCCGTAAATCCTTTCTGAGGGTTTATCATTGTCGGTTTCTTTTTTTTGAATGTACAAACTCGTTCTTCATGATGAGAGCCTGAAACTCTATTGAATGGTGTAAAAACGGTTGTGAAAAAACGTTTTACTGAAAGTTTAATTTCTTACGTCTTACTTTGTCAGACGTTTTTTATCTCGAATGTAATACCTTGCTCTCTTTCATGACTTAATGCTTATCTAACTTGTTTTTAAGATGTTTATTGGGTTTTTTTCCAGTTCTGTCAACCTTGGGTTTTTTTTATTGTATCTTTTCTAATACTTTGATAATGCAATCGCCTCAGTTATTCTTCTCTACAACAATAAATTACAATATAAGAACAGACGGCTTTTTTCTTTTCCACCATTTTCTTTCCCTCCCCGTGAAAAACTACCATGAAAAACAAGTAAAGCTCGTCCGAGGACTCGTTTAGCTCTTTCTCGTAGAAATGCATCCTCTTCACATTTACTGGAAAATCGTGAAAAATCGGTATTCGATATTTTTTTCACCATTCTTCTCCCTCACCCACCCCCCCCTCCCCTACCATGGTCACCAGACAGATCTCAGATTCGAAGTTCCCGCATCAATAAACCTCTAGAAATGTCTTTCTCGAAGAATCATTTTTCGATGTTTTTTTGACCCTCCGGACAGATAAGCAAGCAGACAATTTATGTTTGCAAGACTCAGTAGTGTCATACTCCAAAGTTGAATTCAACTATTCAACTGTTCAGTTATTCAACTATTCAAGTTTTCAATTATTCACGCAAACACACCCACCCTAGCAACACCCAAATACTCGTTCTCCCACCATGGCAATACCTAAAATACTCTCTCACTCACCCTCAGTGCTGGAGCCAGGACTTTGAGCTAGAGGGGGGGGGGGGGCAGAGCGCTGAGTCCCCCTCCATCCAGTCCATTGCAGGAAAATTTTTTTTGAAGCCAATTAAAAGTCCGACTTACATGTTAAAGCCGAATATTCTTACAAAAAATCTGTTTGAAAACTCATAGTAACGACCAAAAAAAACCTGTACTCCCATTCAGCGTTGATCCTGGTCTCTAGAAAACCGAATTTGATAATTTTTTCTATGAGGGCTGAGCCTCCTCTGGCTCCGCCGCTGCCCACCCTGACAACACCCACGTCCACATACGTCACGCACTGTGTCACATAGGCACCCTTAGGTGGTGGCTCTTCGGGGGGGGGGGGGGCTTTCGTGCCCCACGCCGCGACGCCGATATAAAAGATGTGTTTCCGAGGGTAACCGTTCTCTGGCTGTACTAGTCAAATCACGGGAATTTATTCAGGGTGTGGGTATGGGTGGGTGATGGATATTGAATCCCCTTTCGTCATCCACTCTCGACTATAATACTTAAATAGTTGAATAAATGAATAGTTGAATAGTTGAATAACTGAAAAGTTCAGGTATTCAACTATTATAGTTGAATACTTGAATTCAACTTTCTACTATTACATTTATGGCAAGACTTTTCTCTACGAGAAAGAGAATAACGGATGTA